ATTCGTCTGAACTGGGCTTAAGGTAGTGTCTGGGTGTCAGTCAACATAGTTTTAGAAGACTGACAGCAAAGACTACAGTATGTGACGAAAGGTTGTATTTACGAAGACGTCTTTTATACAAAAAAAACCCCCACAACAACACCAAAAATGTCAGGACATGCTGCAACCAACCTTTTTGTCCTTTTCTAAATCACTTTAACGTTACCACAGAAATAAGGTGGCTGACATTGTTGGTCTAACAATAGTTTCCTCAGTAACTCTTCTTGATGTAGCTATACATCAGGTAGCTGGTTAGCTTGTGTTTTGCTGACATTAGCTAGCTTTAGATGTGACTATACAATGTAATGAGTCTGTGAAGATTTTGACTTCAATGTAGGTGTCACTTTTTTAGGTCCCCCAATCACAACATCTGAATTTCTTGTCAACATAGGTGAAAGCTGATTTACCCTTTCATGACAACTGTACAGGGATGAATCTTTATATAACTCACCCGTTTACATTTTATTAAGGCTTAAAGTTATGCACAATTAAGGGCGGTCTGAGGGGCATTGCTACAGTCTTTGATATCAGATCCACCCCTCGCTCCTCCACAGCTCCACCCTCTCTACCAAATATGTTGGCTTCTGGCTCCAAATAACCAAGATGGCGACAGCCCAAGTGTCAAACCTGAGGCTTCAAGAAGCCAATGAATACTAGGTCCATTATTTTTTACATCTATTTTATGTCTTTTGTCTGGATACAAAAGCGTCTGGGTGCAGACTGGGGGGATGGAGAGGGATGGCAGGTTAACAAAGGAGATGCATTTTGCTAACAAGAGGGATGGCGTCCTCCCTCAAATCACCTACTGATTGTATTCATCAGCCAATAAATTAGTATGTCTTTGGAGGACAGACACATAATGTAAATTTAATTTCACTAACAATGATGACTTACTTGTGTCTCAAGCAACATTCTTGTTATTCAAAATCTGCTCTGCTTATTTTCGTCAGGCAAATGCAACAGCTCTTTTTGTGACTCAAATCTATTTCACCGCTGCAATCTGCTGAGCAAACAAGACGCTTTAGCCGATAGGCCAATGCCGTTTAATATTCATAATGGTCTAAGAAGGAGGCTTTAGAGGATCTGGGTAGATAGCAATGTGGATATCTCCGAGGCATTGGTTCTCCGTCTCTGTTCACACTCACTGGACTGTGTTTCCATGTCATTTCTGAGCTGATATCGTATCACTGTCATTGATCTAATATATTTAGCTCAGTTTAAAATTGACTGTTAACTGCTGTTGCTCACAATCTTCTCCAACCATTTACATCATCCACTGTGTGCAGTATCAGTTTTAGGATACGAATTGAATTTTTATATCTTACATTGTTCAAATTTGTTATATAATGTGACAGTTTAAGGGAATACCAGTCCACTCTTTGCATATTCTGCCTGTGCAGATCAATATTTATTCAGACAAAGCCTGCAAAAGACAGCCAAGACTCAAACCTGTGACTTGTCCAGCCCAGAGAAAAAGTCTGTGCCAGAATGTTTGTTTACCCTTTGACGTTGAAATTAGCTTAATATTATCATAAAGCCAGCAGTTCTGCAGCAGAGAGCACGCCCACAGCCCCTCCAGAAAATCTCCTTGTCGTGTTTTCCGTCTTTTCCCAATTCATCCTCTGCAGAGCTGCAATTGGTGTGACAGATTACAGAGAGCGACAAACTCCTCTCTTGTTCTCCTGCCGCCCCGAGGCGCCTGATGAACATTTGAATACTCAGGCTCGAATTGTTTTCATCTGCTGCTTTGTTAAGATAATTTTGTCAAAATTTTATCGAGTGCACAACAAGGATGTGTGAAGTAAAATCTCCAACTATACCTCTGAGCGGAGTGAATGCTGGGACGTGACAGGCATAAATGAGAGGGAAAGAGAGATGGGAACACAACACAGTGGGGGAAATAAAAGTGTTTGTCTGCCAGTCAATTAAGTGATAATCAAACAAAACTAAATATACTGGTGTACATATAATAAGATGGATATGTTGGGGCTGATCTGAGACAAAATAAAAGCAGCCATATTTAAAATTTATGAGTGAACTAAATGAAAACAGATTGCAGTTAGTCCTGTCAGCTAAAGCTCAGCATGCAGTGGGTCTAGCACTTAAGATGCATTTCACTTTCCTTCTCTGTCCCCTCATTTCCTGTCACCTCTCTACCGTCCACCTTTGAATGAAGGCAAAAATGTCCAAAATCACTAAAGCATATGTTAATCATAATTACAGTCAGTTAATCCTTTTAGTAAAATGTAAATATTTGCTGTTATTCTTCTATGACAGTTAAATGAAATGTCACTGGGTTTTGGTATGTTGATTAAAATAGAGTAAGCAATTTGAGCACGTCAGCTTGGGCTCTAGAGACGGGCATTTTTCACAATACATCTGACATTTCATAGACCTAAAGACTGATTAAACAATCTCAAACATAATCAGCAGAGTAGCTGCAGTAGATTAGAATATGTTCACTGTTTTACCTTGCTGTCAGACAGCCCTTGATGATAAGGAACTGAAGCCATTATATCATTCTCTCGAAAACCAGACTCCATTGACAAAAACAGTAATTAAGCATTGCTAAAGACAGGAGCTGCTCGTCTACAAGTGCCTCGATCAATTAGTTTGTTTGTGTTATTGTGTGATTTTGGCTTTTAGAGTGGTTAGCTCAGATTCACCAAAGTCACAATAACACTAACAAACTAATTGATCTATATAGTCGAAGGCCAGCAGCTTCTGTATTCAGTGGGCTTAAATTACTGTTTGTCTGGTGGCTTTGAAGAGAGCATAGATAAGAACTGAGGCCGGAAAGGGCTGGATAAGTACCTCATACAACCTGCTTCAAAAGATCCAAACTATCCCTATTTTATTTGAAAGGCGAGTGATAAAATGATGATCCTAACTGTCGGCTGTAAATTTTATTGTTAATAGACCGGCTTCCAAGTTCAATGTTAATCTTCCGTATTTATGTGCTCACACATTTTTTCCTGTGACATGAAGGCAGGGCCAAGGGTGTAGATTTCATAACACAGGTGGTGCGTTCCAATACCCAAATTACTATACTATATAGTATGCCAGAAAAAGATTAAGTATGTGTCAATACATAGTGTGTCAAATGCAGCGTGCCAAAAATACCAGGATGTTCTACTATAACCGGTTGTATTTTGCAGTATGCAAGCCAGCATGCTATTCAGACCTTGTCACGTATTGACGTGCTTGATCTAGACTTTCCACGGTGTGTGTTGGTTGTTGACGTTCTGGCTGTCACATGCATTGTCTTCTTTCAAGACACACTTCTATTTTCACAGGACATTTAACGTTTACATACAGCCTCCTTCAAAATAAACACACTACTTCAGTACAACACCGCAAATTGATGTGTTTATTTCCTTCAACAACAAAAACACGTGGTTAGGTTTTAGGAAAAAAGAACAGGGTTCGGCTTTAGAATCTTACGGGACGCAGACACCGCTCTCTCAGGTGAAAGTTGTTGTGTTTGTTGTTCGCCGTGTTTCCCCCGCTGCCGCTAGGGGCCATTAAACTATAACGGCAACCAGCCATGTATCATGCCGACGTTAAAGGACGCCTTTTTTCATTGGTTTCTGATGCCGCAAGTCACTGCCCAAACACTGGACTTCGACGACTTTGGAGTGAAACCCGGCTCGTCACATCGACTGAGCCGCAAGTCGCAGTGATGTATGACCAGTAGAATAGTAATAATAGGAAGTGAACAAAATAATCATAAATATTACAAACAACATTAGGGCATAACATATAAAATAACAGTGATGGAGAACTGCAGATTTAATTTCACCTTTGCAAATATAACATGTTAGAATCTACAATCTGTGCAGCTATAACTTTAAAGTTAAACTATAAACATTGCAAAGTAACAACAGCAGAGCTCTCAGGGTTGATCTCCGTCTCTGGCAAATTTGGTAAGTGGTGTTTGTTTATCTCCAAGGTAACAGATATAAAAGCAAGAGGGTCAACGTTCAGGGCATAATGTTATGAGACAGTATTATGTCCCAATCATATGCATAGTGCATGCAGTACGTACTTTTTAAGGGCAGCTGCAGTGCCTACTAGAAGTAAAAAGAAAAAGAATGTGATTTGGAACACACACAGGGAGTCTGGGGTCCCTCTGCAAGGAAATTATGAGTATCAAACACTTAATTTCCTGCATTCTGGTGAATTTCCACGCTCCAAATTGAGCCCTTTCTGCACTGATTTGTGGTTTAAATGTCTCCAATGTTGTCAAATTAAAAGTCCTCTGTTACTTTTATGTTTTTATCGGGGGGTGGGATGTGTCCCCAGTACCACCTCCTGATCCACTGGGAGTGCCATAGGCAGGATTTTAGAAATACTGAAGTCAAAAGTCTAAATTTCAGAACACAACCCCGACCAGAAACATTTATGACCATCCACAAACAAAGATATCTTGATTTTTCAACCCCTTCTGTGTGTACTACACTCCCGAAGTGATGGTCTAAAAACTGGTTCAAAGCTGTTTACACACAAAGACTGAGTCTATACATTATCACTATGAGTCTTAAAAAACCCAAACCAGAAGCCATGACCTCAGTGCTCTCAATGCTGCAGCCCTGAATGATGACGTATTACTGACATTTCAGATGCACCCTTTCAGTTCCACCTCCAAACAAAGTGGTGTAGATAATCAGGCTTAATTGTTGCCTTGTTTACGACCTGTTAGGCCCTGTCTGAGGTCATAGTGATATTCGAGTGTGTCCAAGATCTCAGCATCTACTGTTGTGGGAACAATGTCATCATAACTGATGGGGATTTAGCTGTGAAAATAAGAGCCAAGTTGTGAGAGACTGAAATGAATTTTTAAACCAAAACACATTTAAAGCAGTAGGGCTGAAAAAAAAAAATCACATCATAGCAAATGCCAAAAAGTGTGTGATTGCACTTGTCTTGAAATCACAACCCAGACCGAAGTGCCAACTGACCTTATGATGAAATCACTGGAGTCGATGAGGCCACCGTACTGGGCCCCCTTCAGATTCCCAGAGTTCCCCACCACGGCGCAGGTCCTGCAGCGCTCAGGGCTGGCGTCCATGTAGAGCACCTCGTCAGGGATGACTTGGAACAGCTCCTCCACCACTTCACTGAAGTTGGCCGGCTGCCTCTCTGACTGCAACCACTGGTGACACAGCAGAGACAGACCTCAGAGAGAGCCACGGCTCCAGGGCCACTTTAAGTAGAAGTGATTGAACAAGGGCAGCGGAGCTCGAGACACCGAGCACATTTCTGAAATAACCTCAGGGGCGGCTTAGCTCCGTCTGCGGGGGCTCTTTTGGCCTGGCCTTCTTCTGGTGGCTTTGAACTCGGAGAGACAGCAAATAAATGCAGGAATGTGTGTGCACTGTACACTGTTATATATTGTGCTGCTGCAGCTGGAAATACTGAACGGATACAGAATGTTCTGCTTTCTCTCCTGAGTTGTAATGCAGAGTTTTAGTGACTCATGCTTCAAATATTATTGTAGAGGCTTTCCCACCTTGCCAATACAATTCTGGGAAACCATTTAACATTTCTGAATTTCATCTGGAATCGAATAAGGGTAATAACATTGAAATAGAGCTTTTAATCATAAGACTAAACTCCACACAATTGCACAACATTCAAAACTCTCCTTCACGGAAATTACATTTAGCTGTAACATGTAAGCTGTGACATCTCATCGGAGGAATGAGCCCCGGTACACCTGGAGGTCATGCCTTTGCCTTGCAGCAGAGCAGCCCAAACCATCTGGCTGGGCAAACGTTGATATGTGACACTTGCCTCATCAAGCTCCCTGTGAGAAGCATCTCGTGAAATGAGTAGTGACAGGAGGCAACCTTGCAGTAATTTTTCTATTCTTGCCTCTAATTGGACATGGTGTGAGGTGAATGTGGGACTGCCTAAAGCACTGGATGCCTTCCAGAACAAAGGTAGGATAATTGTGTGACATAAATTTTTGTGAATAGGCTTTTCTAATTTAGAGAGCTGTGCTCTATGGGATGTACAGAGAATCCAGTAAATTAGGACTGGTGCGTGATTAGTTATACAGCTGACGTGAATTCTAATTTACAAGAAAGTGGATTTAAATAAGAAATCCTCCATAAAACACTCCAGCAGCTATTTTGTCTCCTAATTCTGGGTCCAGTTTAATTTCTGGTGTGAGCCCTGTGCATGACTGGCCAAATGTAGGTGGCATTACATCCAATAAGATATTTCCAGTGGAGCGAGTCTGACAGGAGGAAATGTTTTAGCTGCACTAACAGTAAATACCAGGTTTTTGTGTCAGTCACTTGGAATCCAAGGGTTTTTTCTCTCGAGCAGGCATTTAACACTGACACTCAGTAATCATACAGGTGACAAAATCCATCATGGAGGAGGCAAAGATAACAATTCCTCCACTGACTGCAGTGTCAGGTAGTAGTGTGCAAGTACAAACTGGAGCAAGAGTAGGCTGGGACTGGATGTGTGCCAGTTTTTCTTGCTTCAGTAACAAAGACTGAACATGCTATTATTTCTAATTGGAAGGAAGAAAATCTTTTTTCATTCATATTGACTGATTGATTATAGAGTTATTCTCTACATCGATATACCTCGTAATGCTGCACCATGGCCACTTAGGACAAACCTGCTCAGTCAGCAGAAGAACACTCGCATTGATACTTTACATTTGTACGTTTTGTGAATGTTACATCAGTGTTTCTTATGTGACGAAGTACATGAGCCGATTTTTTTTATCTGGAGGTGGAGGGGATGGTGAGATATTTAGACAAGACGCCTGCCAACCTGCAGACCACTGTTTGAGAGCAACAAACAAAACAGGTTGTTTTTTTTACCAAGACATAGCTGTTCTTCCAGCAGGAACTGTGCCCCCCAAAACATGCCCTAACCCTTCCTAAGCATAACCAAGTGTTTTCTCTGCTTAAACACAACCATACGTTAACCATAGAATCGTTGACACATTAAGTGTCAGTAGCCCCTTTTACACTGCCAGATTTTCGGCGAATGTTGGGCCGTTTTGCTGGCAAGCTGTGAGCGTTTAGACACACAGAGCCAGATTGGCGAGTTGATCCGAGGTGCCCAATTTTCCACCTTGTAGGGTAGACATATTGGTGGAACCTTTTTGGTTTAAAAAGAATGAGGTGCCCTTCCGCCACAGGAGGGGCTGTTGAAGACTTGTGGGAGGAGCTGTTGATGACGCTGCATGTGAGACCCACTGGCGGTGGATAAACAGGAAACAGCTGATAGCAGGAATTAGCGAGCAGCTAGTAGCAAGAGGGAAACACAAACCTGACAGACACTGTAAAGATGAGCAACTGGGGAGACAAGGAATTGCTCGCCCTCCTTGTTCTCGCAAATGAAGAGGCCATTAACCGTCAGATGACGGGGACGGTGAAGAACGGGCCATTTATTCATTTATTTTTCGTTGAAACAGCCTGGCCTCGCTGAAAGGTATCTGAATCTGCCTGCAGCACCTTCACGCTCACTGATCAACATGTTATATCTAATTTGTTTATTCCATACAATCTTGCAGTCTAGTTGTCACCATGAGGTTATAGGACAGCCAGTGGTGATTAGAAAACCCCATAAAACCACAACTTGCCATTCTTACATTTCTGTTTTTATTCACATTAAACACACAAGGTTCTAATTAATGAGCTTTAGATGTGCTGCTAGGTGTATTTTGTTACCTTTTGACAGCGTCTGACCAGCTGTTACCCCCTGCTACCAGTCTTTATGCTAAGTTAAGCTCATTGCTGCTGGATCCAGCTCCATATTTAATGTGCATGGGTAATAATGGCGTGGTATTGATCCTCTTATGCAACTCTCTGCAGGACAGCCACTGAATGGATTTCCTTTAAAACAAATATATTAAAGAAATCAGAGTTATGTTAGCCCTGATATATGATACCTGCCAGCCAATCAGTAACAAGTATTTTCCATGACTGTGGTACAACTAATACCTTTTCTTTCACCAAAATTAGAGCGTATATGCAGGTTTTTTATAGCAGGAAAACCCATTAAAAATAAGAGATAGGCTCCTTTCCCTCTGCAGTAGACAGGGATGCCTTTCTTTTTGTTTTGTTTTTCCTAGTGTGGCACATTTGGCATCACTAACACGGTGGAAAACAGGGTTAGTAAACGGCAGAAAGCCTCATTGAGGCCAGTGAAATTGTTATGGTGGTAGCTACTTAATTACATCTGTTATTATGCCGACCCATTAGCAGAGATGTTTTGGCACTGCTTGGGCAGAGACAGATGGTAGTTTACAGTGGTGCATCATTGTATTAAGCAGAAAGGGGGCCAAAATTAGTGCATCTATCCAGGTGTCTTATATCAATGACTGTCAGCTGGAGCTGATAAATACCTGTGACTACTACAGAGTCATTTGTCCTGGGAATTAATCATAGATGTATGAAGAGAACTGAATGGAGTCAGGTCATGTTTATGCCTACGAAAGTTATGTCATGGTGCATAAAGCCAAAAACATAAAATACCTGGATGATCAGTATTGCTTCTGCATCACTGGGCCCATAGAGCAAATGCACAAGAGACTTCTGTTAAGCTGACTACTTCCGGTTTAGCGCTCCACTAACTTGAATGGGGATAAAATGATTTAATTGTGTGGCCCTGCTAGACTTTCCTAACATTATCAGATTGAATAGAGATTTGGCCCCTCAACAAAATATATATCCACTGATCTGCAGGCGTCTTTCCCAAGTTTGGGCCTCATGGCATACAACAGACTTGGAAGTCGTAAATCCACTGTTTGGCCAATACAAAAATTACACAACATCTGTTGCACATCTGTCCATCCTAAAAGAGGGATCCTTCCTCAGTTGCTCTTCCTGAGGTTTCTACCATTTTTTACCCATTAAAGGTTTTTTTTAGGGGAGTTTTTCCTTATCCACTGTGAGGGTGCAAAGGACAGAGGGATATCGTATGCTGTAAAGCCCTCCGAGGCAAATTGTGATTTGTGATACTGAGCCTTATAAATAAAACTGAATTAATTAAATTGAATTGAAAAATGAATGCGGAGTGTAACCTTTCCTACTAAAGACTAAAACCAGATGTTAGTGGGGATTTTTTCCAGTGAGAGAGGGGCTTAAGACATTTAAAACCAAAGCCCAGTCACTGGTATAAAATGTAGGCATTGCTCAAGGTATATTACATTACGTACATTTCATACATATGCAGTACATGAAGCGTTGGAGAGGCAGGTGGAGAAGTGGGTAGGCTAATAAAAGCAGAATTCTTTATGTGTTCTTGAAGATTAATAATTCAAAAATGTTTAAGGACAGACTTAATAGTCAGACAGTTGGGATTATGTGTAGTCAGAGCAAACCTTTATGAACAGAAGTGCCATATTTGCATAGTGTCTGCAGCATTATTTCTAAAGGACCAATGTAGATTGCAGTGAATGGTTATGGTATCTCTCTACAGCCTATATATACACACATATACACACAGTTATGCTTTGGTTTTTGATGGGATCTCTTTGTCTATAGATGTGGGAGAAATGGTGAGAGTAAACAACAATCTCCATATCCACCATCTCGCTTGTTAAATGTGAACAAATTGTGCGTGGGAGTTTGCTTCACAACTTGATCCTGCTGAAGATCCCTTGGATTTGAAACAATCAATGTGGCAAAAACAAACACTTCTTGGGAGCATTACAGCAGTGTGTGATCTCTGTTCTTTATTCATGATCTTTCTTCTAAGCATCTCGTCTGCTCTCAGAAGCTGAATGTGCATGCTTTTTTTTCTCCTTGCAATCCTCTGTAGGATAGAAACACAAATCCCCTGAACACATCCCCTGAATCTTACCTGCCACCATTTAAAGGTTTCGTCAGAGAGGACGCTGTTCTCCCTGGTCATCAGAGGGTGGACGGACTGATTGAAGCGCTCAGCAAACCAGGGGTCGTCCTCCAGCTCCGTCATGCACTGTCGGCAGGCACATAGCCCTTTGGAGAAAAAGTTATCCGACAGACGGAAAGCGTATTTGAAGAAGTAGAGTGAGGGGTCCCGGAAAGTGTAACTGAACAGGAGTGTTGTAAATGTAATGACACAACACAGCAGAGCAAAAGTCCTGATTTTCCTCCGCTTGGGCAGAGACATGTCGTCACAGTCAAAGTCAGGCGGCTGGGCTCAAATATATCACTGCTGTCCAACAAGCATACCCTGTTCCTATTTTTCAGACAACACAGGGCTGGGTTCATGAATGTCCTTAATAAAATTCATTGATGTGGGTTCTTTGTGGATTCATCTGGACCACAGGAAGGTAAATCCACTGATTCTGTCGGCTCCACGGCTCCCAGTCAATCAGATTCAGCCAGTTTTACAGACAGCTTGGATGTTGACTCTGTGAGGTGAGTGACTGATGTGTCATCCCTTCTTTAATGATCCACCTAAAAGGCAAATAAAAGGACATTTTTGTGACACACACACACACACACACTGGGAAAATGGGGAAAAACAGCCTGTGGGGCTCTAATGCTGTTTAACTTTAAATACACAAGGGAGTGTAAATTCTGCTCTGCTCAGTATTCTAATTGTGTCATTTCACAGTACTAACCGTTCCAAGATGAAACTGTCTAAGTTTATGCAACATCACACCACTGATTTCTGTGCATGACTGTGGAAAGTGTTTCATTTACAGTGCTTTGTTTATTGCTCATTTATTTCTTCAAGACTGTCAAATTACACAGGATGTGTTGCAGTCTGCTCTTAAAACGGCCACCAAACACCCAAAATACCTCGATTGATTGTGAAAATTATTACAGTGCTCCTGGAACAAACAGGCAACAGCTGTAATCACAATCCCATCCCACTGTTAAGGACATGTCAATACCTGGAAACAGCTTTTGTTAACTAACACAAAATGAAAGTCTAAAGCAGAAATCACTGACAGACTGTAATAATACCAGAATGAGTCGTTAACCCGGTGTCACATTCACAAATTCGATTCTAATAAGTGTACATTAGGGAGAAGGTTTGCAGTCATTTTGCTCTATCGTTTAGGGCTTTACCCAGTTTACTGCTTTAAATGCATCCCATTTAAATGTCTAAACCAAACAGTAACATCCAGGGCTGTAAAATAAAGCCGAAATGGAAGTGCCAAAAACTGCAGTTCCTCTAATGGCCACTTGAGGCTGACTCCAGAATCCAGTCAGTCGTTGACTACTCATATTAAAACTTCCAACTTTACAGCAGATTTAAACATGTTTACAGCCAGGTAGAAAAAACTGTTCTGGTCTCTGCAGCTTATTTCTTCTTACATGACAGCTGCACAGGAGGTGAATTTTAATATAACACACCCGTTTACATTTTATTAAAGTTTAAAGTTACACATAATTAAGGGCTGGCCGCTTTGAGTGACAGGATGTGTGCCAATAGTGTCCTCAGTTTGTGAGTCAGATCCACTCCTCTACAGCACCAGGCTGTCACCCAAATATGGCCACTTCTGGCTCCAAAGCAAACAAGATGGGGACAGTTGAAATGCTGAACGGTAGTCCACAAACCAGTGGGGGATGTCACAGTAGCTACGTCCATTATTTTTACAGTCAATGGTCCAAAGTGGGATTCCAAAGATTGTGAGTAGCTCAACTATTGTGAAGAAATAGGCATTATAATTGGATAACATATATAAAGTGTATATACTAAAGGCCGGGGGGTATTTTGCAGCATAAATGGTTAGACTAGTTAGCTTAGCTTAGTGAAAAAAACCCCACTGAAATAGCTGGCTTGAAGTACTGAAACATGTGTGAGATAAAAAGCGAAATTTATGAATAAAACTAGGCCTAATCAACAAATGGCTAAATTTGTGAGCTCAAAGAAATAAATAAATGGCTGTATAGCTAATGTCAATGGCTGAACTAGCTAAAAAAAAGTTTCTGCATCTCCAAAGTAGCAGCACATATGCAAACTTCCAAAAAGCCTAAAGACTCATCGTTCAATTGTATGAAAAAAATATTACAACAATATGCATTTATGTGATGAATTATGTGGAATAAAATTGAAATAAACCAGCTCGCATCAAAGACCTGACGCCAGAAGCCACCTGATACACAGCTGGTTGGTGTCAGTATGAAAAGTGGCCGGATATAACCCTTTGTGGTGTTATGAAATTCTGCCGGATGACTGGACAGCACATGTCGTGGCAGTATGATGCGCGGACAGATGGCGCTTCACTTCATAACGTGGCTAAACAGCTACTGGATGGTGTCAGATTAAAATGCTGCTGGTAACAACGTGATATAAGGAGCTGGAAAGTCCCTATAGGGCAGGCTGGAGGGGTGGTGAATGGGGCCAACAAACACTGGTGCCTGGCGTTAGCTTCTTGTAGAGCCAAACCATGATGTGTTTTTCTAAACCTAATCACATGCTTTTGTTGACATCTCGGCAATGGTAGCAGCATCCTGGAACGTCAATGGTGGACGCAGAAGGATACCTCGTCTGTAATATGTAGATGTGAAAGGCCAATGAGAAAGTGGTGATATGTAACGACTTGGGATGAAAACATGTTGAATAAACACTTTCAGAACATGATAGGTTGAAGGAAGGAGGATGCACAACTCCAACATTTCCAATTGTGATGGGTGCAAGTTGCAGAGAGCGCTTCGGCCTAAGCCTTCTTCAGTGTATCAAAAGAGTTGAAAGTTTTGATACACTGAAGAAGGCTTATGCTGGAATTCCACTGGATGCGTGTCCATTGCGGAACGGCTGCGCTGGTTATCCACTGCGTGCTCCGCCGTCCGTCAACACCCACCAGCTGTGTTTGCTGTGCAGACAGCGGGAGTCACGAGGACCCACAAGATCTCGCGAATTCATGCATAATCACGCGATATAACAAGATGTAGTTTCTATAAACAGAACCACAAAACCAGAGGAGTAGTAGGAAGACATGTCGGTGCACCTCCATGATTAACATCTCATCCATGGTGTTAACGGGTGAAATGACGTCTGAAAACCTCTGACCTGTTGACTTCAGGCCTGCTTCCGCCCATTATGTAGTTTTCAAGGTGTAGTGCAGGGAAATATGATCCGCCGTGAACACTGTGTATTTTATTTTGAAAATTAACCGGATGTTTTATTTTGTTTCTGTGCACGACTTCCTGCCCCGCATGATCTGCTCTGTGCTGAATTGCTGCGTTGTGCTCCGGCGTCCGGCAAAAATAGAAGTCCTGCATATCTTTTGCAGAGGGCTCCGGAGCGCCGCAGCTGTGACGGAGCCGGAACACAGCAGAGCCGCAGCCGGTGGAAACACACACATTGACTAGAATTGAAACGTATCGTCTCCGCTGCCGTTCTGGAGCGCAGACGCTACCAACACGCATCTGGTGGAAATCTGGTGGGGGTTAGGCCGAAACGTGTCTGTCATTTTGTTTGGTCGTGTGTTGCCTTATTAAAACATAGATTTTGACTCTAGTCTTTTGTGAGTGCTGTTGCCTACTAGTTTCTTTAGAACATGACAGGTGCAATGGATCCTCTAATGGATCCCCATTAGCTCATGCCTTTGCAAATGCTAATCTTCCAGGGGTCCCCAAAATAAGCACAAGACATGAATACATGATATAAAACAATATAGTAAAATAGAGCAGTCAGACTGTGTATATTATCATTTGGTTATTGCATCTATAACTCCTTCAAGGAAGGATCAGAAGGCTTCACATGTAACAAAGCTCCAGTCATATGGTCGATGGCATTTGGTGTATCTTTAGTCATTTTTGAAATGACAGATTGTTATGTGATGTGCAGAGGTAGTGAGTCCCAAGTCATTACTGAATGGTAGATAGCTGTGGGTGTGCACAGTGGGGGCTGTGGGAGGGGTGGGTACCACTGCTATAAACCTTGTTGGAGCTGCTGCAGCGCATATACAGTTAGTCAGTAACCTGCCGGTGACAAAATTCCCAGAATAAAATAGAGTAGGGGGATGTTTTTTTCAGACCCTGGCTTTTCTTGACTGACAAAGCAGGCGGACCCCCCGGGGTTCTATTTTCAACATGAAAAGGCCACCTCTGCCTTTAAACAAGGCCCGGGTTTCATTCCAATGTGCAGCTGTGTTTAGGATTCCACAAATACTTCTATATTTAGCTAACAGCAGATCCACGCTGGAGATAAAGTGCTATCATCACCACACACGGGGAGGAATATATATCGGAAAAATGAACACGCTACCTGCCCTTTGCGCTTAACAATTTCTGAGTGAGCCCTCCATATAAAAGATTTGTGGGGAAGTCTATTACGACGAGAGAAAGGCTGTAGGTCTTTCCTGATTAGAAATTGATCAGGTCATTCAAATTCCACCCTGGAGGGAAGCAAAGAGGATTGGGTTTAAGACTGAGAAAGGCGATGCACAGACACAGCTTGCCTGTTGATTTCATTCTCCCTATCAGAGCAGAAAAACAAACTGTACAGCCGTTTATCAGCGGCACTGACACAAGCCAGTGCACAGGAAGGCTTATAAGTGATCCCGTCTGCTGTTTGGAGCTCCGTAACTCACAGCAGACTGCGGATTTGCATACAGCCCAAGGTTGGTTATTGTCTTAGGCAGCAAGTTTGACAAGGATACCTGGGGACCCTTATAATGGACACTTCAATGAATAGGCCTACTTCTGTAAAGCAGGCTGTTGACTCCACTCAGTGTGAAGCCCCTTGGCATTAAGGGTTCAGGTAGACGTGCGAGCGAGCGGAATATATTCTCAAACAGGTGGCAGCTCCCCACTTTTGACAACACACTGGCCATCATCTCGTTCCCCTGACCTTGCTCGACTGAAGGCTGGCAACCCTGCACTGATCAAAGTTCGCTAAGCTGAGACAGCAAAGCGTCTGTTCACACTTCAGAGGGGAGGGAGAGAGAAAGAATGAGAGGGGGTGGCAAGCAGCAGTGTGTGTGAGCGGTGATTTTCACCCTAATCTCCAGTTTTGAGAAGTCATCAACTTTGCAGGGTGTAGTTACAGTAAAGGGTTTTCATTTTGTGTTGTGTGGAAATTGTTTTTCTCCCCGGCTTACTTCTGCTACTTGTGAGCAATTTAAGACATCAGAATTCTGCAGTTTTTAAGACTCATGAGAAAGGTATCTCTGCCACAGCCCCGTCTTTTATATATTACGTTTGTATATTACTAAACTGCTGTCTTAATTACATTGTTGTGGGAATGTAATCGCTGCCTGGATTATGTTCAGAGTTTCTTTCAGGTAACAAAATACCACATTTATGTATCATGTAGACTTCAGAGGGAGGCGGCTGGGGACAGGCTGTTCTCATGCACTGTTCGTACGTTTCCTACAAAACGTGAATCCATCAAAATTTGTTCATATCGTGAGCCAGAAATTTGTGTATAACCCACATAGTTTGGAAGGCTGCGTTCATGTGACTAATGCACTGATGGGAGTAAAGAATACAGGTGG